TCAAAGAAAAACAAGATTTTGAGTGTAACATCTAATTTATAAAACTGCAGTTTTTCAGAAAAAATTAGATAGTTGTTCTATGTATGTGACGCAGCAAAAGCAAGAACGAAAGGGAACAAGAATAAAGACTCGAACGATATTTTTCTTATTCTTCAAAATCTGTTCAACATCACTCGCATCCACCATATAAATAAAAGATAGAGTCCTACTAATATAAAAATCCTAACTTGGTTAATAAGAAAAAGAAATAAATATTCACCTACTTAAATGAACATAAAGGAATAATAATAATAATACTGATAAAAATAGGGAAGAATAAATAGAGACGCCAATCGCTCATGCCGATCCAAGAATGCAAGGACAATCTCGTCTTCATCAATATCTCAAACCAGATTTTCCCTCTTTCTAGAATTCACATTATCTGACAAAATAAATTCAACTGATTGTGAGGGTGTGAGCATTATCACTCAACCAACATTAGAATAACAATTAAATTCAATTTGCCACTGAATATGGATCATTTTTAAGTCGATACTTTAATCTGAACGTCGCAGCAATGTTCACCATTGGTGTAGTGGTAATACCACTTTCTATAATGCCAAAGGATAATTGACATTAAAGTGGTTAAACAAAACTAATTGGTGATGAGTTCAATCCAGCTCTAAAATTGAATATTAAAATAAATAAAATATTAATTTATAAAATTGAAGTCGATGTTTTTCNATATTTTCTAATTGTATTACTGGAATTTGTAAAGAAAAAAGTAAGATGAGATGAATAATATTTTTTGTAAGAAATTTTATTTCATTTTATGTTTAAATAAGATAAATCTTGACCAGACAAATTTTTTTTTAAAAAAAAAGAATTATATATCCAATCGAAATTTTAAGACTATAGTTCGATTCCTTAGTTTTGATAAACAATCGTGTTCCCACTCAATGTGCAGCTCAATAGTTTACTGAGTCAAGCAAAGCTCAACTCGTAATATCCTAAATTCTTATAGCTTAGCTCGGGTTGACTAGTGATTAATAAGCCAAATTCGAGCTCCATGGGAAATTCATGAGACTCGAGAAAAATGAATTTCCTTATAATTTTCCAAACTCTTAGTTTATTCAAGTTCTTTAAGACTCGGCATCGATTCACTAAAATTTGAATTTGGCTCGTTAATTTTAACAAATGAGTTGAGCTTAAATTCCATAAATCGCTCAGTTAGTTAATTCTGTTCAGTAACCGAAATCAAATATTAGGAGTTCGAGCCATGTTTGAGCTTTATGAGAGCAGAAGTACTAGAAAGTATTGGTAGGCTCGTCTACGGATGTGATGTTTGAATATAGAACATCACACAAATTGGAGCTCGACTTATTCAACCCAATCAAAATCATATGAAATAATTAATCAATCTTATACACATTACATGATGTATTTGGCATGAGACATTATTGGTTGTGTTTATGTTCATACCTAATAAAGATCATATGATAATGAATCAAGATTATAACTATCACATATATATTTGGCGCGAGACATTATTGGAAGTGTTTATGTGCATACCTTTTCAGTTAATGCATATTACTATAATGAAGTGTCATAAAATACGATATTTTTTAATTATAACTATGCATATTTTCTCAAAAAATATGAAGGGCTAATCCGCGTAATGTTTAGAAGTACAATATTAATATTTATAGAGATAGAATTGTACATTCACCATATAATAGAAATAGAAAATCAAAAGACGTCATATCATGTTTTCTCTCAAATTTTTAAACATATATCAATCGATCATCACTATGGGTGTTCACGGTTCGGATTGGTTCGATTTTAGCCCAAACCATGATTAAATCGGACCTAACGATTAATTTTTTTCTTGTCCATAACCTGACCGGTTTTATTTTTTAACCGACCACAATCTGGATTGACCGCGCGTCGTTACACGGCAAAATTGAATTTATAAATTTCCTAACTTACCCCTACTAAGTAGTAGTAGTGGCGAGCAAGGGTCGATCCCACAGGAAGTGTGGTATAAACCGTGATTTTATTATATTAATTAGATAAAAATAAAAATGTGGGGATTTGATTTAAAACGAACTACTAATAGATCGGCCTTGTCGAGGAAGTTTTGAAATAGTAGCAAAACGAAAAATTAATCTATAACTAGAGATGAATGATTAGATGTAAATGATAATGAAATCGAAAATAATAAATAATTTAGCAAAAATGAGAATGGAATCGGTCCCACGTCTGTCTACACCCTCGAATAAATAACTAGCCCAATTAATGCATTTATCAAATTTCACTCGTCATCTAAAACTACCGGTCCTAGATAGCAATAAGCCCTGCTACCCGAATTTTTCCTTAATTTTACTTAATCGAAACAGGCTTTTCAATTAAATCTAACTAGCGAACAACTCGGAATAAGCTCTCCTAATTTAATCCACTAGTCGCATTAAAATCTAGGAAAATAGACAAACACATAAGATCGGTTAATGTAACTTATGTTGTGTTATCCCTAACAGTGCACGACTATTAGTTGCTACGAATGAAATAAGAACGATGACAATTACGGATCGAAGCCTTAATCTAGTAATTCACATGCAATCCTCAACTTAGGTGATCAGGCTAAATTAAAGAACACATATTATGGCATGTAACTAGATTAACACGATCAATTTTATACGACGAGTAAAACAAAAATAAATGGCATTAATCGAACATATTCACCGAGAGTTCAACGTCCCTAGAACCGAAATAGTATTTAGCTACACATAACTAAATGATGAAAACAAATACTAATATTCACAGTGTTAGAAAATAAAAAAAAATAAATAACAACTCCCTTCTAATGCTCCACGTCCACGGCCCAATTTAAGCTTCAGCAAATAATTCGACTTTTTCTCCTCTGTACTCATGCCTAAGCCTCTAGCAAGATGAGTTCCCTTTTCTCTTGATGTCACGCAGACCAATAGGAATTTTTCAAAGTCCCATTTCCTCCAAACTCTCACAGCATATCAAATGAGAGTCCATCTTTTAATAAATTCCATCCATACGCCACCACTATTCCATAAGTTTACCACTTCCGCATGGTTTTAAATTATTTCCTAATCCATTAAGTCTGTGTTTGGTAAGCTAAATAAGCTAGCTTATAGCTTATTTGGTTAGCTTATAAGCTCTCTATATGTAAATAAGCTTCGTTTGGTAGGACGAGCTTTTATCAGCTAATTTTACCAAACATTTTTATTATATAAGTTAGTTTTTCATCTATAAGCATCCGTTATAAGCTATAAGCTATAAGCTATAAGCTCGAAAATTACTGATAAGCTATAAGCTAACTTATCAGCTATCAGCTAACTTATCAACTATTTTTACCAAACATAGCCTAAGTATTGCCATGCCCAATCATTAATTCCCAGCCATGTTATATGAATGTTGGTGTGTGTCCATTTACAAAATAAAATATGTGAGAAAACTTGTAAAATACACTAAAATCCAATACTCAAATATTTAAATTAAATTACAAAATAACACAAGATTTCTCATGTATCACAGACCGCATTGGACGGTCCGGTTTGGCCGTTAACCGGTTAAATCCAAAATCCTTGTTTTGGTCCTTCAATTTTTATTTTTTTCATTTTGGGCTTAATTTTTATTTTTCAATTTTGGGCCCAAAAGAGATTATTTGGGCCTAAAAAATTAAGAAAAACAACAATAATGAAATAAAAAATATATAATTCGTCCCATAAGCATAAAAATACACATTTCGTCCCATAAACATAAAAATACAAAAATGATGAAGATTAAATTATGCAAAATGAACCCAAGCAAGCATTCATTTTTCCTTCAGTTTATACATCTGAAATAATAAGAGCAAAACATTCATAGTGAATGTATTGTATTTGTCGGCCATAGTGAATAACTGAATGTATATATATATATATATATATATATATATTTGTTATAGTTGTTAATATTTACCGGTCCGGTCCGGTTAAACCGGCGGTTTGCCGCAGGTAATCCGTTAACCGGACCGGTTATTCCGGATTTTTAAAAAAATTAATCACCAAATTTTTTAAGGCTTTTTTAACTGACCATTTAACTGATCCGCGGTCCAGATTGACGGTTTTTTTTCGTTAAAACCGAACCGTGAACACCCCTAATCATCACAAAGTGAGGTTCCCCATGATTTTTATCTGAAGAAGGGATCACATCTAGAAACAGTAAATGAATAGAATGTTAGCAAAATAAACAAGTTCGAACCTTAAACCCGAAATATTATTACCGAGCTTGAACAAAGCATTAAGCTTATTTGTAAATTGAATGAACACATAACTGTTTGCATTCAATAATATTTATGCATATTAATTTTATATATATTTATTGATGATATCTATATGTATATTATCTTTAAATGAAATTTATAAAGTACCAATACATATACATTTTTTTTTTTCAAAATTTTGAACAAATTCACTTGAATTAATCAAACAAATTTATTAAAGTTTGTGGTGGAGACGAGATCGTCCTTGCTTATTTGGCGAAATACGATTCCCTCTAGCTTTAGAATGCATGAATAATTATTGTTTTATCTATTTTTTTATTTTCTTTTTTTATTTATTTAAATTAAGAATAAATTATGTCTGGCTTAAGAAGGTTAGGTTTTGAGGACTGCGTATATATTTGTGGTCTTTTGGGATTTGAAGGCAGACATCGAATAAACGTTCATCAGATTGAGAGTTCTTCTCTTTTCCTGTTCGTTTTATTGCTTCCCTACATCAATTTGTTTACTAAATTATTCAAACACAAAAAAACTCGAACTTTGACAAACAATCTCAAATACTTCAATAATAGATGTGATAAACAATCTCAAATATTTCAATAATAGATGTGACAGAAACTGGGGGAATGGGTGCTGACCCATTACCATAAAGGACACCATGAAAGAAGGGAAAAGCCCATATGAAGCCCAAATGGGGTTCCATCCCAAAACCAATTGGTGGAAGGAGGAGTAGCCCATTAGTCTTATAAGGTGGGTCTATTTTCCATATATGAACGATGTGGGACAACTCACAGTGATATTCCCATAAACGGGTACGTGGAGGATAAACAATGGGTACGTGGGGGATAAACAATGGGTACGTCATCACACGGTCCAAGATAGAACCGGCTACGTGGGGGATAAACAATGGGTACGTCATCACACGGTCCAAGATAGAACCGGCTCTGATACCATGACAGAAATTGGGGAAAAATGGATAAACAATGGGTACGTCATCACACGGTCCAAGATAGAACCGGCTCTGATACCATGACAGAAACTGGGCTCTGATACCATGACAGAAACTGGGGGAAAATGGATAAACAATGGGTATGTCATCACACGGTCCAAGATAGAACCGGCTCTGATACCATGACAGAAACTGGAGGGAAAATGGATGCTGGCCCAGTACCATGAAGGACACCATGAAAGAAGGTCTAAAACCCATATGAAACCCAAATGGAGTTTCATCCCAAAACCAATTGGTGGAAGGAGGAGTAGCCCATTAGTCTAATAAGGTGGGTCTATTTTCCATATATGACGATGTGAGACAACTTACAAGTGATATTCTAATAAGATGAATGAACACAAAAAATGTTCGTACATAATTGAATACAAACACAAAATACTCAACCCCAATTAGTTTTCGACTAGTAACACTTATCAAGTGCTAATCAATTTTCTTCTTTTAACATAAATATTTTAGGTTTGATGTATATCATACAATATTTAACTCCCCGGGACAAGTAAAATCCAAATCTCACCAACCAAGACTTGAAAAAAGTCCCAAATGATGGCCATTCAGTATAATATATCAACGTCACGTTTGGCATCGTTCACACTCATACCAACTTTCACCTTCAACACACACATAAGCAATGACCAAACCTAATAGAGAAGAAAATCCATTTTTATTTGCACATTTACAAAAATTTTTATTCAGTTAATAACATAACTAGTACGTAACCCGTGCAATGCACGAGATGTAAAGTTTAGAAGAATAATATAACCTCACGTGCATTAGGATCGAAATTGTAATCATTAAAATACATAGGAACATTGTTGAATCATAAAAAGTTCGGTAACAATCATATATTATTAAAAACCTCCTTGTACATAACATTATGAGTTTGATTATTTGGTAACTCCTCATTATGGCAAACTAATATTTTCAAAAGAGACAAATCCTAAAAATCAAACTAATATTTTTGGTGAACAAACTAATATTATAGGATTGGTGAACAAACTAATATTTTAGAATTTATAGGATTTGTCTCTTTTTGGTGAACAAACTAATATTTTAGGATTGGTTATATGAATAAGGCTACCTGTTTTTGGTGTTCTCTTCATTCATTTTCATTCAAACAATCCGATGACTTGTATAATGAAATTCGAATCTTAAGCCGAAATATTTAAAAAAAGAGTTCTTAAAAATTGAAAAATCAAGGCAATCAGTTCAGATTAATTAAAGGTCATAGAATATCCGCTCCTTGAAATAAAGACGTGTGCTATCATTAACCAAATATCCAATTATTGATATAGAGTGGTTACCAAAAAATAGAACGCGATAAGGACGCTTCATGGAAATATCAATGGGATAAGGTCATAACAGATCGCTATACATTTTAGATAAAAGCTCAGATGGAATGATTTATGATAATTGTGTCGTAATTAATGAATTAATTAGATGTGTGAAAAAGACATAATTAATGAGAAATGTGAAAAGGACATAATTAATGAGAAGTGTGAAAAGGACATAATTAATGAGAAGTGTGAAAAGAACAAAAACTTACCGGTTTTGGAAAATATTTAATACAAATCCGACATTGACCATAATTTAACCTACTATTTTAGATAAATGTTAATTCTTATTATATAAGTATAGATAACTATTATATATGAATGGTTTTTATTGTGGATTTCTTGTTTTTTTTAGTTATAACTCGTCTATAAATGATTTATGTATGATTTCCTTTTCAATATCTTATTTTAACAAAAAATTTCAAAAAATAAAGTAAATGTGTAAGAGCGCTATGGTCATATATACCAAACCCCCATCAAGAACCAAACCAAAAACAACACCATATTTCATTAATTCGTTTGCAGTACAAACAAAAGCAACACAACACAACACAACACAACACATTCCATTTTTGTTCAACACAAATAGTAACAGAAAAAGAAACTTCCATGATGATATATGTAGTATAAAATCTCAAATAAAATCATTAGAGTTTTTTCAGATATGACTCATGAAAAAACGATCATTCGGTGAGTTTGCTCCCGGCAACATCCACGACAAATCTGTACCGAACGTCATTCTTCTCAAGCCTCTCCATAGCCGTATTCACGTAATCCATTTTCACTATCTCGATAGTCGAACTCAGGCCCTTTTCCTTGCAGAATTCAAGCATTTCCTCTGTCTCTTTCATGCTCCCAATAAAGCTTCCCGTGATGCTCTTCCTCCCTATGCAATACCGAAATACAACAAGTTGTAAAATCAGTTAAGAAAATATACAATCGATCAACAAGTCGTTAAAATGCATGTAAAATGATTTCTAGTTCAAGTGTCACGAAAAATGCATGAAAAACAAGTTTTTGTCGATGTCCTATAGTTTATATAAAAATCGTTTAGGTGAGTGTTTTCAATTCTCTTGACCAAGTCCTTCAAAATTACTAATAAACTACACAAAAAGAAGACATTTTTTTTTCTGACTTAAACCCTTTTCAAATTGGACTCATTCCCACTTGTGAAACTTGAAGGCTCCCCAAAAATTTACTGACTAAACTAAGGCTATGTTTGGTAACCAAATAAGCAAGCTTATATAGCTTATTTAGTTAGCTTTATAAGCTTCATGTATTCAAATAAACTTAGTTTGGTAGAGATCTTTTTTAAAAAGATAGAGCTTACAACTGACCCCCCAGACCCCAACCTGTTGGGAATATACTGGGTATATTGTTGTTGTTGTTGTAGAGCTTATCTCATAAGTTTTTTCAAATAAGCTCACTGAAATTTTTATTTCAGATAGTATATCAGCTAATTTTAGCAAACACCTTTTATCATATAAATTAGTTTTCCAGCTATAAGCTAGTTTTACCAAACATAGCCTGATATACAAAAACGGCACATAGAAAGCCAAAGGTCATTTGGGAGCTCACCGAGCATGACCATGGGAGTAACAAATTGCAGTGGAGTATTAATAACGCCCATCAAGATCAATTTGCCATCGACTTTCAACAACGAGAGGTAAGGCTCCAAAGGGTGGAAAACCGGTATAGTGTCGATTATATAGTCGAGCGAGTCTGTGAGCTCCTGCATTTTATCGGAATCCGAGCTTACGATATATTCGTCTGCGCCTAAGTGGTCCAATGCCTCCTCCCTTTTTTTGTTGGAAGAGCTTATGACTGTAACATGATGGCCCAATACCTTCGCAATCTTGACCCCCATGTGGCCCACACCACCGAGGCCCAATATCCCGCCTCTAAGCCCACTCTGTTTCAGCCCAAAATGGTTTAGTGGGCTGTACACAGTTACCCCGGCGCAGAGTAGTGGGGCAGCCTGCTCCGGTGCCATGCCGTCTGGAATTTTGACGACAAACCTGTAAAAGTTAAAAGGGAATTTGTAATTATATATGTAAATTAATATATATGATTATAGTAAAAATGTGGCTTAATGCATTACAACTAAAGATTATAATAGAACTGTATATCGATGACTTCAAAATCACCCTAAAGCTAAACTTCAATTAGAAGCTAACAATTGCTAATATATTTAGTGATTGGAAGCACTCTTAAGATATAGACTCAACCACTGATAAGATTTTTTAGCTGTTCATAAACGACGCTCAACAACCAGTTATTCCTCCTCCTAATGCACGGAACAAAGCAAAAAACACACCAACCTGAAATAATTAGGACATTGCGAAGCCATTACAAGATTAGAACTAAAAGAATCATCGATCATCGAATATTATAACCGTTCGTGTTTTTTTATTTTCTTACTTGTGATTAACAACCATGGATTCAGCAAAACCCCCTTGAGTCGGTTGGCCATCTGTATAGACATCGTTATAGGACCAAATCTTCTTGCTGCAATATTGCTCGATTTCCGATTTGCACGGGCGGCAATTCCCACAGCATCCTACAATGCACCCGACCCCAACCACGTCACCAGCCCTGAACTTGCTCACACCTGATCCTACCTCTATCACCTCACCCACCACCTCATGTCTTCACAAAACAAAAAATGCAAGAAAATTTAGTAATAAAAATCCAGTCTTGTAAATATGAGTCAATTAATAAACTAGTAAAAATGCTTCGATTCAGGACTAAATTCCCAATGAAAAAATTATTTCAATAGAAACAATAAACAAACAAACAAACACACAAGCAGATAAACAGTTGAACACACAACACAGAGAATAGAAGAAAAAAAAAATAGAGGCATAAAGTAAGAAAATATACACATACCCTGGGACCATAGGATATTTGGACATCCCAAGATCATTCTTAATCTGATGAACATCTGTGTGGCAAATCCCACAGCACATCACCTTCAAATAAACATCTTCAGGCCCTGTCTCCCTGTTCATGGGGTCATTAATTACAGCTATTATTTTTCCCAAATAAACCCAGAAAAAACGCATATGAACGAGAACCCATCTCTAAACACTGAAAAAATTGAATAAAAATGCAATCTTTGAGAAAACCTGAGCGAGAAGGTGTAAGGAGAAAGAACCCCAGAAGAGTCTCTTGCAGCCCATCCCACTATTTTTTTCTCCATTTCCAAGCTGCCAATTTTGTGTTTCTCTCTTTTTTCTTTCACAGCAAAAGTATTTTCAACCAAAATTAACTTTTTTTCAACTTTCTGTCTGTTTGTGTGCCAATGCACAAAAGGATTTATATAGGGACAAGGGAAATGATGATAAAGATAAAAAAAGAGATGAATGGAAGAGAAAATGGAATATAAAACGAAAATAGAAAAGTTGGCAACTAGTACTAGGCAGGATATTTGTTCAGTATTGTTAGGGATTACTTCCCACTCTTCTTCTAGATATTTAGGATTGCCTATGGGTATAGGTAGTTCTAAGATTGAAACATTTTCTTTTGTTATTGATGCTGTAAAAAAAAAAGTGCAAAATTGGAAAAATTGTTTCCTTTCCCAAGCAGGGAAAGAGGTTTTGCTTAAGTCTGTACTTAATGCTCTCCCAATATATGTTATGTCTTGTTTTATATTACCCAAAACTATCTGCAAGAAATTGTCTCAGCTATTTGCAAACTTTTGGTGGAAATCTAATGACCCAAACAAGAAAGGTATTTTTTGGAAAGCTTGGAAATGGTTGTCCTTGCCAAAAGAGGTGGGAGGGCTGAACTTCAAAGATCTCTACCTCCTGAATCAAGCTCTGATTGCCAAGCAAATTTGGAGACTGTTCACAAAGCCAAACCTGCTGGTCAGCAGGATTTTGAAGGCCAAGTACTTCCCAAACACCTCAATTCTTCAAGCAAAGAAATCCAACAATGGGTCATGGCTATGGAATAGCTGGATGATTGTTCAGAGCACGATGCAAAGAGGAATTCGATTTGAAGTGAAGGATGGGAAATCAGTCAAAGTGTGGGAAGATCCATGGGTTCCTACATTACCAAACTTCAGACTGAAAACTCCTTTGGGTGGCTGCAGAAACTTAATGAAAGTCAGTGAGCTCATGGATATCACAGGTAGAGGATGGAATCATGTTGTGCTACAAAGTTTGTTCAATCCTCAAGAGGTGGAGGAAATTCGAAAAATCAAAAACCTAGATCCTTTATCAAGAGACAGAGTCTGCTGGAATTGGGATGCCAAAGGGGAATTTTCAGTTGCCTCTGTATATAAAAAGCTAGTTTGGGAAAAGTGGGGACAATTGGATAGAGCAGAGAGCAGTGTGGAGCAAAAGCGGGGAAGAAAGGTTCGAAAGAAGAGCTGGTCATTGAAGATCAAAGGGAAAATTAAGCATTTCCTTTGGAGATGCTACTCCAACATCCTTCCTGTCAATGGAAAACTGAAGATGAAAGGCTTGTCAGTGGATGTAATATGTAAAACTTGTGGTGAAGCTCCAGAAACCATGGAACACCTCTTCTTCCATTGTGATTATGCTCAAAAGATTTGGAAACTGGCTCCTGTCACCTGGGATGGACTTTATGCTGATGCAAATGACTTTAGAGGCTGGTGGAACAAATTGTGCACAATGAAGCCTAGCAGAACTACAGAACCAAGACTTGAACTTACTGCATACTTGCTATGGTGGATTTGGAGATCAAGAAACCAATGGCTGTTCCAACAGAGTCTAAGGCCTGCCAAAGATGTGGTGGAAATTGCTCTCAAAGAATGGAAGGAGTTCATGGACAGAGGTTAGACCAATTTTGGGATCAACTAGGAGTTTTGAGGCTCAGTGGTTGTGTCTCAAAAGGTCTAAATCTGGTAAATGGACTGGTTTCACATGCTTTGAGTTGGAACAGGAGCTTGTAGGCTTTGAACTTTGGGAATGTATTCATAATGCTTTCTGGCTGTCTTGTTAATGTGCTAATGGATGTTCTGATCCTTTAGGGACTGTTATTTTGGTATGTATTAGTCGGTTGGGTTGTTTAGAGCAGTATCTGTAGCTTAGCCTCTGTTGCTCTAATTGATAGGTTGTTATTTAGGACACCGCATGGGTGATCCTCTCGGTTATGGCTAGTTAGCCATCGAACTTTGTACATTTGTTCTAGTTATGCAATCTATCGCTTCGTTAAAAAAAAAGAATGTGCGCAACCTCATCTCAGCCCAAAAAAAAGTAGTCCGTTTGGTGTTTGGTGGACCCGGTGTACCATACACCAGTTGAATTCATGAAAATTTCACCCAATCCATGTTTCTGTGGTTTATCTGATATGCGATTGGTCATGCGGTGCAGGTACACCAACTACAGTATTCAGTGGGTCACAATCGGGGGTTGGTGAGCTAGTTTATCATCTGATTAGCGTGTGTTTTTTTTTTTGAAAAGTCCACTTTTGGTCCTTCATGTTTAGGGGTATCTAGACTAAATCTCTATTATGTTTTGGTGCCCAATTTTAATCCTTAAAATAAAAAAATGTAGTCCCTATAATAGGAAAAAATCCACTTTTGGTCCTCCATGTTTAAGGGTATCCAAACTGAGTCCCTATTATGTTTTGGTACACTAAATTAAATTAAAATTTTTGCTCGTCTGATTTTTATTTCCCTAACATTCGCGCTGCAGAGCAAGCTTGGAATCATAGTATACTGCTCTGCACCCATTTTCGGGTCATGCCATCGAAAAAAATTGCACCTATCAACCCTCTATGTTTTTAATCATTTCTTATCAGTCCAATAAACAAGAAGAAAGGGGTATTCCAATTGAAGTTCACGGAAAGTACTTACAGGATATAGAGGGCAACTCAAGAATCTTTTCCCGGGATTATCATCCTTCCAACATGTAGTCAACTTTGCATCCAACCCACATCTACAAAATACCACACCATTTCCATCCATTTGATCGGATTTAGTCCCTAGGCGGTTCGAATTTTTTTTTCTACCTTTTACTGTAGTTCACCATTTCTGCCTTTTATTTTACCTTTTCAGCATTTAAATTTTCTTTTATTTTTCTTTGGTCAAAGTTGACATTAGTCAACAAATTTTAAAAAAATAGAGAACATCACAGTCGAGCAAAAATGGACTGTTAATTCACAGAAATTGAGGTAAAGAGACTACATTCTTTTTGTTTTAAGGACTAAAATTGGGCACCAAAATATAATAGGGACTCGGTCTGGATACCCCTAAACATAGAAGACCAAAAGTGGACTTTTTCCTATTATAGGGACTACATTTTTTTGTTTTAAGGACTGAAATTGGGCACCAAAACATAATAGGGACTCAGTTTGGATACCCCCTAAACATGGAGTACCAAAAGTGGATTTTTCCCTATTATAGGGACTATATTTTTTTTGTTTTAAGGACTAAAATTGGGCACCAAAACATAATGGAGACTCAGTCTAGATACCCCCTAAACATGGAGGACCAAAAGTGGACTTTTCCCTTCTTTTTTTCATTTTTCCTAATAATAATAATTGAAAATATGAGAATTCATTATTATTTACCACATATAGCTTCCTAATTAGCATGCGATTCATGTGATATGAAATAATTCAATATATCATTGTTATTAAGCGAGATTAGATTACAAATTCATTATAATTTGTTCGATTCATTTGGTAAGTCTAGCTGTTAAGCGGGTTATTACTTGAAAAGTTTAAATCTGAGTTTATAGCTGACAGATTAGGAATAGTGAATGAAAAATTGACTTATGTAATAAATCATTTAGTAAAATTAGGCGATAAGTTCATTGAAGTAAAAATTTTGATAGTATTTTTTAAAATACAACAAAAATAAGCATTTGAAATAAATTTAAGCTATTTTTTTTAAAAAAAAAACTGATCATATCTGATAAGGTCCAAGGCGAGTGACTCCAGTTCCTCGCCAGGTCCTCTCCGGTTTGAATGGTAGGTCGGTGAGTGTGGTCCAGTCCATGCACTCGAGTTCGCCAGTACTTGCAAAGCGCTGGAATTGCTCCGGCGCAAACCCTCCGACGCCCAAGTCAAAATCCCGCAATCAAAAGAGAAAGATAGAGAGAGAGAGAGCGAGATAATGCATAATAACTATTGTAGTGAAATAATGAGTTCATGTTACCTTCCGTCGGTCAATTTACCTCTTATATAGTGACTGACTGTACTGTCCTCGGGACCATAAATCCTTAGACATTCATTGACCGAGCACATGGCATATGATGACTTCGAGGGCCAAGGCTCGACCCCAAGCCCCTTCGCCGGTCGACATTGTGGTCGGGGGTCGACTCCTTGGGCCAATCGACGAGTCGACGCTATGGTCGAGGTCGACACCTTGGTCTGATCGACCCTTAGGTCCGGTCGACACTTGAGCGGATCAATGCATGGTCTATGCTCAACCATTAGACCAGTAGGTTATTGGACCAGTAGGCCGTTGGACTATTAGAGCAGTAGGTCATTGGACCAGTAGCCATTAGACCATTAGACCATTAGACCAGTAGGCCATTGGACCAGTAAGTTGTTGGACCAGTAGCCATTAGACCAGTAGGTCATTGGACCAGTAGGCCATTGGACCAGTAGGTCGTTGGACCAGTAGGTCATTGGACCAGTATACCATTAGGCTTGCTTGGCCTCAATCTCACGGGTCTTTGTCCGATTAGACCGAGTCGGTATTATAATCCCTATCAATATCAAAGTAAAATTATTTAAATTTAAGAATTTTATAAACTGATTAAATAACCAATTCATCAATTTATTAAACATACCAAATTCACCCTAAAATATTAAGTCCACTCATAATATGATTTACCAAATCCAAAGTACAAGTGAAAATTACTACTCAGAGAAAATCCTTGACAAGTTCAAAGGAAGGAGAAAATTAAAGGGAATTGAGGATGTTTTGGTGAGAATGCAACGTACGCAGCTGCTGTCATAGCGTCATTTTTCCGTCTTTATTTTTTTTTCTCTTTCTTCCTTTTGCATTATTCATTTTATTTCATTTCTTTTCAGNATGTGATATAGACTATAGAGTAGGTAAGAATATTTTTTTTTTCTTTTCCTTTTAAATTCATGCTCGTGATGATTTATGACTTCTGTGCTCAAACAATAATATTTATTTTATTTATTTTGATATATAGACATAAGAGAAGAGTCTTCCAATAAATGATGACAAAATTTTAAGAATCCATATTTTCAAGATATTAGCCACCAAAATTTTGAAATGTCTAAACATATGTGATATAGACTATAGAGTAGGTAAGAATATTTTTTTTTTCTTTTCCTTTTAAATTCATGCTCGTGATGATTTATGACTTCTGTGCTCAAACAATAATATTTATTTATTTATTTTGATATGTAGACAAAAGAAAAGAGTGCTCCAATAAATGATGACAAAGATATTGCGCTGAAATTCGGTATGCTTTATGCATAATTCAAAGTTGTCGAAAGGCTTTTCTTTTCTTTTCTTTTTTTATGTAAACGCATAATTCATGCATACAATTGAAAAGAAAAATAGTTTTTTTTTTTTTAAATGAGATATAATAAACACATTGTTATAACTTATAACATAGGTGGCCATTTGGCATTGGTCGGCCTGGTGACCAAAGTTTCCGGGTCAAAATTGGAAATATTATATAGACCGGCTTCATTCGAGATTTGATAAAAATAAATTGACTCGTTAGTTCCCCAGCCTAACTCAAAACCCGATCAACCCACCGGGTTTGGTGCCAAAAATTCTGAGTAATATTTTACTTTTTGACTAAATTCTGAGTTTGACCTGAAATCGGCGTCTCAGGCCCAAATACAATTTAATGTTGTTCGTTTGATTTTGTATTGGAGTGAAATTTTTGTTTGAGAAAATTATCCCACTAACGATTTCTTAGTATTTTTATTGCATACCTATTACTCCTTTAACATTATTAGCAAACATATCAAAACTCAAATATTTATTTGCATAATAATCATAATTGTTTCCTTTTTTCTTCTTAACGTGTGGGTGCGTTTTTGTTGGACAGTATTTAAATAGACTGTGACTTCTCTGTAATCAATTAATGGGAGAAACATAGCACAACGTCGCCGTCGACCTTCAAAACGCCGCCCTTCTTCGTCGGCAAGAGGAATGAAAATGGCACAGTTTCCGGTCTACAACTTCGACCGGTTCCTGTTCGAGATCTATGAAAAATCAAGAGTCCCACAGTTTCTGTTCGGGTCGCTGCGCGTCCTCGATTTCTCGCTTCCAGAGAAACTCTGCGCCTTCGCTAAGTTCTTCATCATCACGGGCTCCTCGATCAATTGCTTGTTTTAGTGAAGATGCGCACATTTTTTTCTTGAGGAAGAAGAGTTCAACACAGGACCATTATATGTGTTGATGAGAACGTTAAAAATAACACACAGGCCTTCGATCGCCATTGCAATATGGTGCTAGAAAATATATGCATATGTATACAAAATATACTGAAAATATACGAGATATTTTCAAACATTGCAATTGTGGTTAGATAAATATCCTGAAAATATACAGGGTATAAACACAACATATACTAAAAATATTCATTAATACTGATATGCTTTTATGCTTTTTTTTGTTGGATTTATTGGGTATATGTATAGTTTATTTTTATATATCAATGTTGTACAAATTTTAGGTATAAAATTAAGTAGAAAATATAAATTAAATGTATAAAAAAAATTGTTAGATAAATTTATGGAGTATAAACACAATATATACTATAAATATTCATTAACACTGATATGCTTTAATTATGTTTTGTATAATCTTGAGATCGAATGACGTGAACCACACAAGAGATATATACAAGTAAGGTAACTAGTTGGAGTTTATGATACTCATTCTATATTCAAAAAATGTCTTTCTTTTTTTTAGGCAACTGGACGCCCCAAATCATGCGCAAAATAAGGAGAGGAAGTTGGATTGACATGGTAACTGAATTATGCATTAATATAGTTAAGTACTCCGTATTATCTTTTAGGTAAAGACGCAATTGATTTTATTTGTGTTGTATTATTGCAATATTTTCCATATCATGTAGGAAAGATAAAAATCTCCCGTTTTGTTTTATATTATTTTAAACTTAAATCCATCAGATTGGCCCGAAATTGGAACCGAAACCAAAGAGTTTATTGAACCAAAACCTCCCTACACGGATCGGTTTCTACTCTTCATTTTATAACCCATCGATCCACTGATCCGTCCCAAAACTGGCACGCCAGGCCCATTAGCGACGCGTACCTCTAAACCTGATCCATTTTCTTAACTTCCAAGTTCCAAATACAAAGTCCTTTTCACATTCTCCAGGTTTTAGTAAAGCAGTAGTTGGATATATCTACTCAATGACCGAAGAACGCGTAGCAAAAAAGGAAG